ATTGTACAGATATTTAAATAATTCTGTCAAAACAAGCCGCAGGACTTGTTGATGACAAATTACATACCCGATTTCCTATATATGTGTAAATATTATTTGTTTTTCGTCGCATATGCTACGCAACTTCGTCGCATATGCTACACAAAATGGGCATAAAGTAAAGTGCAATTTACGTATATAACGCTCAAAAGACCTATGCGACCTTTTTACCAAATTCAAAGAAATGAAACGCAGCAAACGGTAAAGTGAATTTTCATGTTAGCCAGTTAACTGGGGACGAAGATATGTCTGCGTCAGGGTAACCGATAGTTTTACTTAATCGTAACATGCTTTTTGGGCTAGTGTTTTCCAGGAAAAGTGGCATGGACACTTTATAGAACGTTTTTGTTCAATTGTTACACTTCAATTGTTTTGCCATCAAAAACTAAACTTGAAAGGCCTGTAAGAGGCTTTATAGCGATGGGGCAACCCTATTGCATTATGTATTTTTTTTTAATGTGTAAATAGGTAGGTGCAAATAAAAAATAAAACTACTCAAAGGTTGTTGAATGTTTTAAATTAGAAAGCAATTTCCATTTCTGCTATCTATTGGCGGTTGTTTCTTTCAGCTTTCAGTCACTCTCAAGACCACTATACAATTTTTAAATATTGTATGTACTTATTTCTGTATATTAGATTTATTCATTTCACTAATACTTATGATCTATAAACAAGTCGATCAGTTACATGAAAAACTAAATCATTCAAGTAGCACCAATACATGGTATTTGGTAGAATTTTTTACATACAGTATTAGTTTAAATAACAAAAAAACGAAAATATATACAGAAATGATTATCAGAGCCTACGTCATGCCCAATATAATCTGAGGCTATTATTACTTACTCTTTTTCCGTGTTTCTTGCTTTTAGAAACCCTTATAAAGCTTTTATCTAAATTGATCCTTCTGTCATAGATTCTTGTAATTAATTGAAAGAGCGATTCGCTTTGGAGTTGATCCAAGGCATGGCTAGTGTTTGCTAGTCTTGCCCCTAGCTTTTGATTAAATTGTGCCAATAAAATATGCCTTGCTCGATTTATCATCAAGATGATATTGCTATTATGATGCGTTATAATTTTTCCTATATAGAGATAGGAAAAAATAATAATTGAAGAATGAAAAGAAATCAAATGGTCAAAGTGTTAATCGATAGATTAATTAAGAACATATACATATATAATTAAGTAAAGATTAATATTCCTGTAAAATAAACATAATAATAATATAAGTATATTAGCATATAAAAAGAACAGTATTTCCTTACAATAAAACTACCACTTACGGTGATGGGTTAGACGTAACTCACGTAGTGTAATGTCAATGCAAAGCCTTCTCGATTTATGGTCCAAAGATGATATTCCAATTTTAAACGACGGCTACAGTTCGAAATCTCCGTATCCGGAAATGTTCAATTAGAAAATCAAAATTCGAACGGAAATGCTGAGTTCTGACGTTTTCTAAAAAATATTAGAGTGAATGCGCTTCTTGGAGCGCTTTGCAGAGGTCATGAATCATTTATGGCTAAGAAAAGCTAACTCGGATATCAATAAATCTCGCAGACGCGGCTAGGAAGCTGAACGGAAAAATAATTGAAGAGCCTTGATCTATTGCGAGATATTGATGCGGTTTTAATGACGAAAGCGCTGTTAGCGTCTTTAGATCAGCTTCTTTCCGCTGGGTTATATCTTTCATAGCCTTGGCTTTTAATGGGATTATGTTAAGGAGAAAATGGTATCCGTCATACATGTGTAACAGGTCTGTACTGTTTTAACTAAGAGCATTAAAAAACAATAGTAAAAAGCTAAGTTACGGTAGTTAATTGTACTCTATATATTTTTCGTGCCTAATCAAAAACAATTGTGAAAGTCAATAATCTGTGCATGTGACAAAAATAAAAACATTTCTAAATTCAAAAAAGCCTTTCTTTAAACAAGGAGCGCGAACTTACATTCCTCGAATTCGAAATTCAAAATATGCATGTCTATTTTAGTACTAGGTCATGTCAAAATTTAATATAATTGATTAACATTAATCGAATTCGAAATTCAAAAAAACATTTTAAAAACAAAAATTGGATATGGCAGTGTGTTGCAATACTTAAAGAAATAAACAGTATCGTTATAGATTCAATTTTGCTATACGTGTGAGCGGAAAACCGATGTAAATAGGCAACTAGAACAACTTTGAAAGAGCAATTCAGTTTTATGAAGCTCCTGATTTGAATCACATAACGTACCTTAAAAGCAACATTCACTTCAGCGAAAATACGTCAAAATATCCCAAATAAGATAAAAGCGTTCACTGCAACCACTCAGTTTTGAATATTGTCACTTTGACGTGCGTTTTATTTGCGTTTCAAACTGATTTTAAATTTCGTACGTTATTTTGGCATATTGCGGGTAGCAGCTGTTTATTGCGCAAGGAGGGTGTGTTCTAAAATTAAAACCACAAGTTGGTAATCTCACCCATATACTCATTTTCTTATACCCTGCCGTCTACGCTTTCATCTTTCGAATAATTCAAGTTTAAGGGAAATTCACACAATTCAAAAAAAATCATTGGTTGCAAAAATTAACTTACATTTGCAAACTGACATTCGAGTGAATAAGATATTTAATAGCTAAAAAACTTACCTTTTAGTCTAGTCTAGTACTAGAACTTAGTGTTGTCAAATGTTATTTCGTAACGGCCTTTACAACAATAGACCCAAAACGTAAATTTCAAATTTCGAATTCTTAAATTGAATAAAACAAATGAAGAACGTAACTTCTAAAAACGACATCAAGCAACTATAAAGATTGTCCTTTCAAGTGGTTGGTGACTTATTAGCTCCCTTTGTTCTGTCTTAAGTATATCACTCGAGTACAAAGGGCAAATATGGTGACGCAACTGAGGTTAAGAAGCTTTTGTATTACGATAAGGGATACTTTAGGGAAGACGTTTAGGATCGTTTCTTGTAAGATGAGCTTGAAGTTGAATTTGGAACAGTTACAAATCTTATATTTGGAGCGCCTTCATAGTGTTTAACGGAAATCGAAGCATAACCCGAAGATTATCCCTTTTTTATTCATCTATTTTATTGGCAAGTGGTCACTTGAATCAATAAAACCGTAGAAATGTGTATATATATATATATATATATATAAGTAACAGTATTATGTAACTGTAGTCGGTATCTATACAGCAAATAAACAGCTGGTAATATCAATCTTCTGTGCATGTGTTCGGAATTAAACTCCTAAACGCCTGGACAGATTTTTTTGTGGTCAAGTGGAGTCGAGAATGATTTACATTATTACATTTATTTTTGTATGTAAGATGTGTGTACAGGACAACGTCTGTCGGATCCGCTAGTATCTATATATATTATGATGCTTTAAGCGCTCCACAAACATTATCTTTCACTTAATCTCCATGCCTCACAACAAATTCAATTGTCATTATATTACTTGGACAGCGATCATTAAACATATTAACACCTGCTTGACCCAGTTCTAGTATTCTTTTTTTAAACCATTTAAATAACCATACAATTTAAACTCTCATAAATGCTACATAAATCTGCAAATCTACGACGGGAAAACCATAATTTCTCCGCCTTATTACGTTCAGAACGTGACTCTATTACTGTGGTATCGGTAATTGTGAAGCCATAATTCTGCCCTGTCCAAGCTAAATATTTTATTTCTTATCACTCGGATAAACTTTTTATTATTAAACACAAATTAATATGACCAACAATGTCAAGTCACGATATTGGAAATTTAATCTAAAGGTAAACGGCACAAATATAAGAGTCTTTCCTGCGTTCGATTTTGTTCCCTTTGGAGTAGATAGTAGATACTCTTGGGCCGTGGGGTTCAAGTGCACGGGCGCTAATTAAAGATTTAAGTTGGCGTTGTAGATAGTACCGGTGACCCCAGAGCTGGTGCTTTCCTGGCTCAACGAATCAGCGAAAATGCTGCCCTCGTTAAATTTACACTGCCACAGGGACCAAACTTTTTAAATTTGTTTTTATTTTCTTTTAATAATAAAATTGTAAATACAAATTAAACGTATGTATCTAAAGGTTATTTCGATTTCTGGAAATGCAGTATCGAATTGTAAGGTCTTTGCATTTTATATGTATAGCTGTGAATTTAAACTTAAAACATATAATAATTTATTATTTAATAACATAAACGTCGAATCCGACCGATGTCTATGTGTATATGTCGGATAAATATTGTCACTCTATTGATATTGTCATTTAAATTTAATCCTTCTAACACCACAATGTTCCACTGAATACTCGATCAGTACTGCCCCTGTTACCTGAACGCACCGTTAAGGGTCATGATGGCGCCTCGACCCCACTCGAGAAATTTGCTCTGCTCTGATTGGTCGTAACAATCGTACTTTTAATTCAAATTAATTACATAATAACAAAATAAATCGAATTTAAATTAATTATGATTCATAACAGTAATAGAAGGAATCTCAATGATTAAGCAAAGGAACCATAAATATCAACGGTCAATTGACTTGAATATAACATTTCCTGATAATCTCAGTATTTCCTGACGTATATATACATAATATATTGAGTAAAGATAAAAAAAATCTCTTCCCTCAAAGGCCGGCAACTCAACCACTAACATAGTACTGTAGGCTTGTTTGTCGTCTTGTTTTATAAAAAAAAAACTATTTCAAGTAATAGCTAGAATAGATTTAGAGACGACATCACGGAAGCTTAAATTTCAATATTTTAATGAAACAAAACACAATCGCAAAACTTTTCTCATATATAAGAAAATATGCACCAAACTAATTATATACAAAGTGAAACTTCGTTATCTCTGTACTTTATGCTAGTGCGCAGTACTCGTAAATTGTAACAATAGGTACAATTACACGATAAGAAATATACGCAACTAGTAGTGTATAATGGGTTTTCCAATAAGGACTTGACAACTTTTTTTCAAAATAAAATGAAAACCATTTGAGATATTTCAAAAACTTTATTATTGGGTGGGTGGGAAAAACATTTATGAATGGAACTCGATGACTCCCTCATATGGCCACCGCGGGCACGCGTGCAGCGGTCGATTCGTTGGACCCAATTTTTCATGACTCGGCCACACATTTCAGCCGAAACGGCTGCTATTTCGCGTTCAATGTTGGCTTTAAGCTCTTCCAACGTCATCGGCTTATTAGCATAGACCAATGACTTGACGTAGCCCCAAAGAAAAAAATCTAGTGGCGTTAAATCGCACGAACGAGGCGGCCAAACGACTGATCCATTTCTTGTGATAACACGCTCATCAAACTTGTTCTTTAATAAATCGATTGTAAAGTGTGCTGTGTGGCTTGTGGCGCCGTCCTGTTGAAACCACATGCTGTCCAAGTCCATATATTCCAATTCGGGCCAAAAATAATCGATAATCATGGCGCGATAACGATCACCATTCACAGACTCCGAATTTCTGTAGTAAATTTCTGTAGACGTTGTTCGTTCGTGTACTTCACCATGATGAAATTATGTCTACTGAATAAACTGACAGTGACAGTTCGATGTTAAGTGAAAAGGAGAGTTCACAAACTAAATTCAAAATTGTCAAGTCCCTATTGGGAAACCCTTTATATGCAATAAAGGCTATTTTAAAAATGGTGTTTTGAAAACTTTACCTATAAAGGCAATAGCTAGAACAATGGCAAAACCAGTTTAGTTTTTTAATATCACTTTGATGATTTAACAAATAAATAATAAAGAATTCAGAAAATATTTGGCATATAACCTGGGATTTCTCTCCTACATTGCAAGTTTTATCAAAAAAGGATTGAACATTTAGAAATTTCATGACTGTTATATATAAAGTTATCAAAAACCACATCGATACTCCTTTTACTCTCAAAAATAAACTAAAGGATTCTTCGATTTCTTCCTCGTTTTCCTATTAAACCGTCCTAGATTCTAACACAGCCATTCCTTGAATGTGTAAGTTAGCTAATAAATTTTCTCCCGAAATTGATCCCTTCCACCTCTCTTACTCAGCTTCGCAAATCCTTTCCAAAATTTTACAATAACTTATCATTTATTTCTCACGCTTTTTAGACCACATATTTATAGTTTCTAAGAATGCTCTTAGTTGGCAATAGTTATTAATGTTTCTGTTAAATGTACAATCAGTTTTTATTGTTATTTTTGTGGGTTTTTCTTAAAATGTACGTTGGCAAACTTTTTTTAAGTAAACCATCCCGCCCGCGTCATACCAAAAAACTCGAAAGCTACCGAACGGAATTTTGTAAAGTTTTCACTAGTTAGTTTAACTAATGGAGAATGACTTTATAAGCAATTATAAAAAAGAATAAAAATAAATCAGTGGCGCTACAACCTTTTTAGGTCTGGGCCTCAGATTTCTGTATCTGTTTCATGATGATTTGTCAATCTAATTGGCAAGTAGGAGATCAGCCTTCTGTGCCTGACACACGCCGTCGACATTTGGGTCTGAGCGGATGCTAAATGCGCACAAAGAAGGAAAGTCCATTGGTGCACAGCCGGGGATCGAACCTATGAACTAAGGCATGAGAGTCGCACGCTGAAGCCGTTATGGCACATATATAACTACTGAAATAACTTGTCACAAAACCCATGCAGGGAAGCTACAAGTCGCTTGTATATATAACCTTGTTACTCTTTCCGACTAACTTCGATACCAACAAATATACCAATCGCGGGTTTTGACCATTTATATTGCTACATAAACCTCATACATATTTGAAACCCGTAATATAGCTGCTATTCTGTATGTGAATGGTTCATTTGTTAAAGCAAAAGCTTTAAAATCACCCATTTTAAATGCCTTTTGGAAGTGTTTGTAAAATAAAACTGACATTTAGATGTACAGTATATTTTTACAAAGCCAACCTTATATTGAATATTTTATTTATCACATTGGGTGTGGCTTTGATTGCGATAAGGTATTTTGTGACAAGTTTATAATAAAAAGGCGATTTAAAAGAGTTATGGAGAGTTTGTTGCTAGTTCTCCTTCGTTCTACGCCGTCGATTTAAGAACTGGCAGTAAATGTAAATTTAATTTTTTTTTACTGGCCTTCAAAAGTGTAGTTACCTATAGTCTACCTAAGTTACCTATATGAATATAATATATTTTGATTTTGGCATACCACAAGTAAGCCTACATAGGGTACATACGCTCTGACATTAACGCGATGACCAGAGTCGTAAAAAATAGTTTAATATCTCGAAACATTTGATAAACTTAATTTTTTTACATAATTTAACTTGAAATTGAATTAAAATCCTATTCTGTAACAACAAAAGACGATCTCTTACGATGCATACTTACAAGCGACTTGAAAATCTTGTATTACATTCGGAAAGTTAATAATGATCGAGATACATCAAATAGTGTTCTCCTGCCTTTTTCGTTCGATTTCTGGGGTCACTCTTGAGCCAAAGTTGAGAAAAAAACAGCACGGCCGTACCATCCTTTCCACGAAACAGTTCAGGCCATTTTCATCCACATATAACTTCGTTGTCGATAAAACAAGAAGCCTGAATTTAGTTTAATAGTGTAAGTTTAATACTTTAATACACTAAACACTCTAATTAAATATTAAATATGTATTACATGTTATATAATGTATCTCACATTGTGTTTTCATCCGATGGCCATGACAATCTATTTATTTAAAACATGAAAGATTTTAATATTAATATGGTCACTATACAATGTTGTTAGATTAGCTAATTACGGTTATTATCTAATAAGGTTATTAATTATTTATCTATAAGGTCCCTTGTGTAGGGACTGAATAAATTAACCGACTTGGATTTACGTGGATCCTTAACTTTTTACGGCAGAAGTTATGTTTTGATAGCATATCTCATACAGGACTTCTTCCTACTATTCGGGGATCCTGTCGACTAATATAAGTATATTTCTAATATAGAATATTTACTATGTATACGCAATTCGTTTCTCCCATCAAACTATGGTATATATGTAATACCATTCACAAACAAATGCGTCAATCTACAACCCAACCAGTAAATAAATATCTTTTTCTCTCTCTACATTATTTTGCTTCATGATTACGCTATTAAAACTCGAATTGAATTTTTTTAAATATATTTTTGCATACATATCAGGAACAGTAGAAACGTACGAAGTAGTATTACTAGTACACATAATATTGTAGGTTGTAAGAAGCATAGTTGTAAGTCAGATAGATAATATAAATCATTTTAAAGCCACAATACAGAACAGTTGTTTTGTGGACCACGATTCAGTCACCGAATTTCGTACCGGAAATAAATTAAATTATAACATCAAATCATCTCGCGACAGTTTCCCAAATTTAATTCGAGTTTAACTCACTGCAACTTCAGAGCACGAAAGTCGAGGATACAAAATTTATCTAACGTTTTAGTTTTAAAATTCAGTTCGTGTTGGATTAATGTAACGGGTTGCTAACAAGCGGCGGTTGATCGCAAGCTACGTAATTTCATACGGTTAGATAGTTTTCAACTCAATTTCGGCTTGTACTGTAAATATTAATTGTAAACAATTATAAATGGACTATATCATGTATGGCAATCAGAATTAATAATACCGTCATATTCATTCTATAGATACTGTTTGTTTTTAATTTTACTACGTAGCACTGACAGTTTACTAGTAGTAGACCATATAATTATTTATATATATTTACTAGATGTCCCCGCGAACTCCGTTTCTCCTTATTTGCCTAGCCTACCTTTTTAGTACATACCAACATGGAAAATTTTGTATGCTACCCCACGGTTCGGTTTTCCGAAATTAAAACTTTTTAGGTTTTTTTTTGTGATTTTTCTCTATGTATAAACCTCAGAGTTCAAGTTATAAGTTCTTAACTAACAAATAAAAATAGGGGTTGATCGTAGAGGGTAGATACTAATTAAGGGTTGTATGTATTTTTGTACGATGTATTAAAATAAAAAAACAACAAAATATGTCTAAATAATAAAAAATATAAATATATTGAGAAAAAAAATAAAAACAACAAAATATGTCTAAATAATAATAGCTTTTATAATTATATAAAAGCGCTAATAAATGAATATATGTATTTGAATTTCCGTGATCATATTTCGCGTCGCGTGTAGTTCATTTATCTCCAACCTTACCATAAAATTACGGTTTTCCACGTGTGATTGATGCTACCTATTCATATGACAATCATTTTCAAGGGTGGTACCGAAATCTGAGCTTTGCCCCAAAAAGCGTTCATATTGGCATTGTCATTTGCAAACGTGTATCACAACACGTTATATGTATGTAGGTAAGGTACGTTTAGATACAATAATTAGCTTAGAAATTGATCAAGATAAAACTAAAATAAAAACTATATACTCATTTTGGTTCGAAAAATAGTGTTTACCTGGAAAGTGTTCCGGAAGTTTTAAAAATTAGTAATTTTATAGATTTTCAGGCTACATGCTATATTGGAAAAATTACTCCTTAAAGCAATTTTTTGACGAAATCTCATTTCCGACTCAATTTACGATAATAACATATTATACGAAACTATATACATTTATTTATGTACTAATCTTTTTACATAAAGAATTTTTTTTTATTGTACGAGCGCCATAATGTGGAGTCGAACACACATTATGTGTTTTTACTTTGTTGCCTGGAAGAGATCGCTAAGTGGCGATAAGGCCACTTAGCATGTTTTTTTGTTTAAAGTTTGTTGTTAATATTATTTAATTATTGTGCAAATAAATATTTTTTCGATTCGAACCAACCAACCAACGGTACCTACTTGAGATTTTCGCGTCTACCTAAATACTTCTCTTTCTCTCTACACTTCAGCCTTATTATTTTATTTAAATCATGTAAGTATGAAAATAATATAAAAAGCAATTAGTATCTTTACTATTTATTAGTATCAATACTATATTTCTTTATCATTATAGAAGGACAAAGTTTTCCTATTGGACAAAATCTCTCTATTGTTGTATTTTAATTAGAAAGTATGTATACGAATAATCTTATCTTATTTAAACACACTTTGTATGAACTAATACTATGTATAGTCTAGAAAATGTACGCCATGTTCAAAAAGAAACAACAAAGACGTAACAAAACGGTAACAAATTGAGCATTTCCCGGACCAGTGAGGAATCCCACTTACTGATTCACGAGAGTTCTTTAAAAGTTTTCCCGGAGTAATACGACCAGGTAGCCTACAGCCTTGAATAATAACGAATTGCGCACAAAACTACTGCATAAATTATGCACGACTGTGAAGAAAATGTATATATTGTTGAGGGTTTTGAGATACCTTTTGAGTAAGGTGTCGAAATTATTTATAGTATCTGCCTGTATTATACTATAGTCTTTCATATTGTATTTTTATGAATGGTTTATTATATTTA